GAATCATTAACATTTTATGGAAATTAGAATAATTTTTTCTTTAGCATAGCAAAATATGGAAATAAATTCATTTTTCCCCTTGTACTAAACCCTAGGTGGTACTTCAGAATTTTATGCACAATATGCTTAAGGGTATTTAAAACACTGAGAATGTTACTTATTGCTGTAAACAGAATCATGAAAAGGACTTTTGTTGAAAAAAAAAAAGTCATTTCTGTGTTAATGGTATAAACAAGATGCTGTTTTTCTTCTCCCCCCTTTCCATTTCAATCTTGTTACACAAAACAGGAATGTATTTTTAAAGGGGATTATTCTAAAATGACTTTGCAGTGTAAAGTAAGTATGTATAAAGATAACATCTGTGTGTATCTCTAATTGGCAGGCAGTTGATGCCCTAAAACAACTCTACCTGGAGTTTCCGCGTTTGTATAACAGCAGCATAGTCTGTTCTTTCATGCCAGATGTTGTTTATAAGGTGATGTTTCCTAAAAGTTTATTTTGGATTTTTTTAGTTCTATCTGGGAATTTGAGTAAGATATACAACTTCCAGTTCCAGATTACTTTTGGGTTGTTAAAATTGCCAAGACTTTTTAAAAAGAATGAAGCATAAATCATGTCTCCTGCATAATCGTATTAGATGTGCTCATTAGATGCACATATGAATCTACAGCAATTCCCTCCATTCGGAAAGATACGTAGAAAAAAGTGCATCGCTCTTACAGCTGGCATATGGCCAGGTATCTGTGGGCAAGGTCCCTGTTAAATAAACCTCATATTTTGATGTAAATGTAGACTATTCTTAAAACTGTTTCCTAATTTTCATTGCCAAGTGCATTTACTATGTATTTTATTCCATTGCGTGACTGTTATGCAATTTTTTTAACATAAGAGCAGTTGCTTAGTATGTTTTAAAGAAAAAACAGTAAAATATCATAAGCGGCTTTCTAAAAGAGTTACAAAAGGACCTAGGGGGAGGGGGAGAAGGATTCTGGTAGAGCTGCAAAAGCAAGCTAGCACTTTGTATCTAACCTCTCCCAATTTATATTGCTTTTGTATGAATTACAGTCTCTTCTCCTTGATCTTCCAGATGAGACAAGCTGACACAAATGTTGTAACAGCACTAACACACAGGCCTTGGCATCTGAGTCATTTTGGAGATGGGACACCCCGTTTCAATTCCTCCTGGAAACATTATTTGTATATGATGATGGATGTCATTCTAGATTGGAGCTTACACAGTTTCTTGTGGCAATTGTGTGGAGTTTCAGCTTTCCTCATACAGAAAAATTTTGTTTCTCAGTAAGTATTAAAGGTTGCTAATATATCAGGAGGCAATATCATTCTATTCGTATATAAGGGTAGAGTTAACATAGTATACGTTAATCAATATGTTCCATTTAGTGTTGGTAAGATTGTTTCAATAGTTTCTTTACCGCATGCTATTTTATTATTATTTTAAACCCGTCTTTCCAATCTGCATTTTGTTAGATCCTAAATTTAATCTCAAAGGGAAAGAAAACTGTTGCTTTTGCCTGTACACAGTAATAAAACACAAAAAGATGACATTGCAGAAGATGATGCACTATCATTCTTGATGTGATACTGACGTAAGACTAAAACTCAGCTGTAGCCTCAGCACTGTCTGCCTTAAATATGATAGTGTCAGCCTTCCTCTTATGCTGTCCTTGTTCCTTGCAGAGAGTACGTGAGGCACTGGTCTTCAAAAGGAATTCAAGTGGTTGCCTGGACAGTGAACACATTTGCAGAAAAAAGCTACTACGAAAGCATCCTTGAATCCAGCTATATCACCGACAGCTTGGTGGAAGACTGTGATCCTCATTACTAGACCTGTGCTTGGTAGACACTCGCCAACCCAAATACGCTATCTTACTCGCGCAGGTCTGAATTCACCATTGAGAGGGTATCCACTGGTGCAGATGGGACTGCTAACGGTAGTTCTGGGAAAAGGAAGAGCAGCAGTTTACTTCTGCTGTATGGTCAGATCTCGAATGCAGAAGAACCCTCTGTTGCAACACCGGAGAAAGCTGAGGTACAGCCATTCGTAGTCCGAGGAAATGGCACTGTAATGTAAAAGGATCAGTTTTGACAAGCTGTATGTGCAGATTGCTTTATAATTCTCAGACTATTCCTTTCCTTTGTTTAAATCTTGGTTATAAAGTCATATCAGCAATTTTTGGTGGCAAAATTTAAAATCATGCCTTGATTTTAGTAATTTAAACAGTCTGTTCTATGACTGTATAATAATTTGAGGTTGATTTATGGCATCTTAAAAACATGTACATTACTGTTCTCAAAACAGAACCTGAAAATAATGGTGCTAAAATAGAGGGTGAGTATATTTCCCTCCTACTGCATGGAAAGATGGCTGTGCTGCACCTTGACAAGGAAAAGAAAGCCAACTTTCCACGTTCAACATGAAGACTATGAGAATTAATGAATAAAACTTGAGTATCTTTTTATCTTCCAGACTTTTTAAAAGAACCAAGGGAGGATAGAAGATTATGTCTTCTAATGATACAGCACATGAATGTATTTATTTTTAAAAGAAAGCTATATATCGAGTGCTAGTAGTGGTAGAACAAATAGAGCTGAAATGCCTTTTTACTTTGCTTATTGTGTGCATGATTGAAGGGTACTCACAAGAATATGTGGGAAACTGGAATCCAGATTTAACTTGAAATCAAAAGAGTCTGCAGCTACAATAAATATCTGATAGCTCACGGGTACGGTATTCTTTATCAGCTGTGCAGCAGTAGATTAATGTAAAATGTCAAAATTAGTGCAGGTTGCTTGCTATTTTTTCTAACAAGTAAAACCCCCAGGTGTTCTCATCATACTACCATCAACGTGCCATGAACAATTTTGGCTCTGCTCTGGAAGGAGCTAGTAATTGGAGAATGTCAATGATTAGCAAGAGCAGAAAACTCCTGTAGAGCCAGCCCTAACATAAATTAGACAACCTTTTTTTAATGGCCAATACATGGAATTACTAAGTTTAATAATTTTGTTCCAGAAGAATATGATACTAATTTCAACAGAAATGAGGAATTTGAACATTTAACTGATTGGTTACCTGCTGCAGGTTATTCAGAGGTAATCTCACAACATACGTTAGCCTGCATATGTAGCAATGCGTATGTTTGACTAGAAAGTGTAACCATGTTTTAGTAAGGTATTTCCTTGTGCTGCTGCGGTGGTGTTGAACTCATTGTTTCCTTGTTCTGCCGTTGCTGTGTTTCAGCTGACGTGCTGTGCTGTGCGCTGGGTGATCACTTTACTGTGTGCTAGAGGAAAGCTGCACTTACCAGAAATGAACAGCAGATTGCATGGACTGGTGGTGCTGTTTGGTACACTGCTTCAGATATAAGTGTTCTTGATGGTATGCCTCATGGTTAGAATTAGTTCTCATGCACAGAGCCAACTGAGATTAAAAAAAAAAAAACTTCTATAAAAGAGGCAAAAGGTAATAAAAAGAAATACCCAGTCATCAGTGGAAAGAACTACACAATTGTCCCAATTAAGGTAAGTCCAAACTTCTGAATTAGTGGCAGATGAATGCTACCTTCTGCAAGGGGTGATGGATTTTTTGCTTGTAACTTGAACCATACATAAGCACAAAGAAACATAGGAGTAAGTGGATTTTCCTGTCAGGATTATAAGAGCTTCTTCCGTTTGTGTCACTCATCCACCCTGTACTGCAGAACCAATGACCTCCATCTTCTGGTGCACATCCTATAGCACGTGTACGTTACACCCTCAACCAGTTTCTGAGTTCACCATTTCATGAGTGCTGTAGCCTCTGCCTTTACTGCTGTGTTCCACGGGCGGTCCCCGAGCAGCCGTTGGAAGAGCAAACGACCCTTGCTCCAAAGGTCCATTCTTCCTAGTGCTGCTTGAGTTGTTGGTACCATTGGGTCACCGTTCTCAGCGCAAACACTAAGCCTGTATTCAATATTCACAGCCAGACTCCACAACTGTACATGCAGAAAACCATAATAAAATTGCATCTCTGATCTTGCATTGTGTGTAAACTTTGTCCTTTCTTCTGTACCTTTGGTGGCTATTTTTGGATTGTCTTCAAACTAAATTATGAGCATGAGGAAAAGATGTGCCTCTTTCCTAAGGCATTTTTATGTCCAAAGCAACAAGGGAGGAATAAACCAGGCAGTAGTAGAAAATGGGCTAAAAAAAAAATTATCATGGCAAAGTTGTGGCTCTGAATAAAAAGAAGCTGCACGAAGTGTCTCAGAGTCACATATGATAAAAAAAATCTCGATGGTATTACTTCCAATCTATCCTTTACTGGGAAAGATATGTCATAAACTTTTTGTTTACAAGCAGTGGTTTTACACAGATGAGAATTTTGATAAGTAGTCACTCTTGAAAAAAAGAGTTGTAACTTTTGCCATCAGAGCTGGTTTTGAGTGACTGTAATAAACTAATAAAAGTAAAGATAGCTCAGAAAAGTGAAAACGGAATAGAAGCTTCACCTGGTTCACACGAGTTACTTTGCAGCCATTACAATGTCTCAGTCATTGAGAACAACTGCAATTTCCTTCTATTTTATTTGACTAATACTTCACTTTTGGCTTAGATGAGATAAAAACAATTTGAACAATATAACTGATATAAAAATATTTTTAGACCAAAGCTTTTATTCACGATTAGGCACAAGTTTCCTTATATTTAGTCAACAAGTGACCAGCTGTGGAGAGACCCTTACTGTATTGAGGTAATGGCCAGTCCTGGGGGAGGCTGATGATCAAGGTATCACTACTTCAAAACCAAACACGCAGGATATTCCCTAGCATAATAATAAACTGCAATCGGGATGCATTTTGCAATCTGTTCTTGTATTTTTTTCTTCCATTTGGGGGTAAAAAAAAAATGTTCGAAGGGTTCTTTCAGTCATTAGTGCAAATGAGCATTGCTTTCTGCAGAACATCAATGACTCAACATTCATTATTGATTGTGCCTGCTCATGGTCGAAAATCTGCGTCATCATCTTCGTTTTCCCACTGAGCCGCTTCCCTCGCACGCAGAGCGAGCGCCACTGCCTCAGACATGCCTGGCCTGCTGCTGGGCTGGCATGTCTCCGAATCTGTTTTTCACAAAGGAAGTAATGTTAGCTGTGCTGGTGTCGGTATAGTAACCACCCCCATTAAAAAGCCCTGTGCTATTTAAGTGTCTCATCTGTCAAGTATTTGGAATGAAGTCGCATGTTTGTGTAAACCAGGAATAGTTCAAGCCACCACGCAAGTTTCCATAGCTTTTTTTATTCCAGACATACAACGTCCTAGGGACTCTACATCACTAATAACCTCTTTTGAGATTCACACGAAGATGTGAAGTGTATCTCTAATGTGATGCAATATTCTTGCCTGTGGCTGCTCCCATAAGACAAAATGGCTTATTTACCCACAGAAATTAAACTCTCTGGTATACAGAAGCTTGTGATCAGTCTTCAGAAGTCACCACCACCATCGCAACAAGCTACCAATAAGCATGTCCTATAGAAAATGTTTACCCCAAAACCCAGTCTTTTTGTTTTCTCTTTATACAAGATGCTAAAATTCTGTATCTCTTGCATCAAACTGTTCTATGCTGTGTCTGTACCATATAAAACATTTTTACTGAGCTGGGCTTCTAAGAGCTTTCTGTGTTTGTCGCTTACCTAGTGGGAAGGCAGTCCCCCTCAAGATTTCAGCAGAATAGGGATACTGAAAACAAAATTCACAAGTAGATTCAGGTCGATGTTTCCCTCATGTGCCTGTTATCTTGTATTTAAAAAGATACCAGTTACCTGTAACAAAACCATACTCTCCAGATCTTAAGCAGGTCTGTGAGTATGACTTCCAACAGCTATTCTGATTGCATTTTTATACCTGTTCAAATCAATCTTTAAAATTATTTCTATACATACAGGATGTCCTCTTTGTTCAACATACACCCATTGTCTACACCATGCCCCAAGTTCTATATAGGGAAATCTAGTGGACACTTCCTTCTTTTGACCATCTCACCTCGTTGTGGGATGCATTTTGATTTCTGTCAAATGCCCTTCCTGGGTAGCCTGGCACTTGCAGGGCAGGTTGCCTGGACGGGTGGTATGAAGAAGAGCTTCTCTGAAAGACAGTATTTGGCATTAGCAGTACTATATTCTGGCTTCCCATCATGACTTTATGGTCAGCGCTGCTCACACCCAAGGCTATTACCCTTGTTTTAGGGAAATGGCTCTTCTACTAGATCCAAAATGAGATTATTCCAGCATCTCCTTTTGAAATCTGATCTTAACAACTACAAGAATATCCAAATTTTGTAGGCTATCAAACCCTCCCCTCGGGAGTCCCAGCTGTGACCCTGGACATGGCCACAGGGTTGCCTAGTGTTTGAAAATCCCCAGCACACAGAAAACGCCCATTCACTTTAAGGTCCCCTCCTTACAGTCAGTATTTATTTATATTATCACATTAATGACAGCCAGTCATACAGGGGGATTTGGTTTTTTGGGGCGAGGGAGGGGAACCTAACAAACCCTTTTTCTTCATCAGTATGTAAGTCAAAGAGTTTTCGTTCAACCCAAATAAAAACACTGCACAGCACCTATATGTGCACATTTTAACACTAATTTGATGGCTCAGCATGCAGGACTGACTTGAAAAATAAATTCAAGTTTAAGACATTAGATGTCTATCTTGACATTGTATGGGATTTAAAATGGCGTTAGGTCAAAGCACTCAGTTTTACCTCAGCTGAAAAGATTGGGCAGGGGGGGCACAAACCGTAAACCCCTGAGGAAATCCAGAGTCAGGAAAAGGCAGCAGCCTCCCTTTTAGTTAGGCCAGGTTCAAGTGTGGCCAAACCCTTTAGTGACCATCACCACACACCTAGATTAGGAATGTTTTCTTGCAGTTTCATAATCATAAATAATGTCTAGTGAGGGTAAGGACTTTTCTATATCCTTTCCGGTTTAAATTCCAGTCTGGAACAAATAGTTCAGGAACTTCCACAGTATCCTTTTGCTGTCTGGAGTTAACTAGTAATCAATCAACTTACGTGAAGTTTTACATCCAGACATATCCCAGAATGGCAGCCTATTTGCAAGGCTGGAGGAACCCCATGAAATCGTACCAAGCACATAATTGAAACAGTAGTATCTTAACTATCGAACTGACCTGCTGGCCTTGTCCTCTTGGTGCAGATGGGTTTTGTTTTGCCCTTTGCAGTGTCCGTAGTTTTTCAAGTAAAAACATTTTATCTTTTCCTTCCTATGGTCAAGACATATTTGATCATTAGCTGGAATAGACTAATCATTCTTGAGAGGCTCAAGGCCTATGAGTAACCGTTGACCAGAATAATCATGACAATTTCTTTTATTCTAAAATAATCTGTCTACAGAGGGAGCTGCAGCAGCACAGCTTGAAGGTAAAATTATTTTGCAACAACTCTATTTCTGAGTTAAGTTTCCCTGCAATTCCCGGGGGTTGGGGGGGAGGGCTCCCACCCTCCCTTGCACCATCATAGGAAAAGCAGATTACAGCTCCACAATAGCAGGATGAGACAATCAACAAGGAAGTCACATTTTAAAAAAAGATAAAGCTGAAAGGCAAACTTACATTAATAATTTGCTTATGTAAGAGTTTGGTCATGGTCTTTCTTCCTTCTATTATTTGCCAGTAAAAATAAGTAAAAATTCTAAAAAAAAAAAAAAAAAAAAGGCCAACATATGAGCACTCATACCCATGAGTATTTCCTCCTAGTCATTGCCTGAACAGAAAGTTATCTTGTTTATTTTATCCATTAAAAGTTATATACACACATATTTATACATGCATATATATATATATACACACAAACACACACATATAAAAAAATTTATGTATACAATTACACAAGGAATGGCAAACGTGAAATTGTTTAAGACGTTCTCTTGGAAAAGATCCACAGATTTAGGGACTTGTATTCAAGATGAGAGGTACAATTAAAGTAAGTCAACAATACAAGGTGTGTTTCAGAAAAATAGGAACCTAATGCTCTTATCCAACTTTGTGTCATTTGCTTAGACACATGCCTGGACCTTAAATCACGACACTGAACACTTATCACTTCCAAGCCAATCCTGGTCCCACTAGATTGAGTGAGATCTTGTTTTACGAGAACAGGTTTGGGCTCTAGGTATGCATGGTCCATGCTAGAAATATCAAGCAGCACAGCTACAACATCAAACCCTACCAGTGGGCACATAGCTTAATATGCACATACTGGTTTTGCCAAAATAATTTATTTCAGCCAAGGGGACAGTATGTGAATTTACCTGAGATTAGCTGGAAGCAGACTGCAACCTACTTATTAGCATTTCCCCATACGGTGCGCTCACTTGAACATGCTGCTTGTGCACTACCACACCCTTCCACCGCAGTGTCCCTATGGTAGTTCAGCTATTCTTTACATGCTATCATCTCCTCCAATGATTCTGCTGATGAGAAATGGTCAGAAAAGACAAAGTGACCATCTCCCAAACTTCTACTTCTTACGTCGCTCAGGGTCCTGGTATACCTCTGGCCTGTATTCCCTGTGCTTGTAAAAGCTTGCTCTTTCCCCCTATCTATCCACCTCCGGGGAGAAAAAAAAAAAGCAGCAATTTATCCTGCAAACTGTATGCAGCATGCTCCCTTTTTAAAGTTCACAGTTTTTAAAGCTAAGTGTGCCACTGATAATAACATCTGGAGCCTAGGCAGCAGTAAACTAGAAATATTCAATTAAAAGCAGTGTATCCTAGGGTTAGCGTGAAGCTGGTTTGCAAAGAGCTTTGGCATCCTAACATAAAAGGAATAGGTTTTATAACTTCTTTATGTATTTCAAATACATGAATTTCCAATATATTCACCATTTCTCATGCTTTAAAATGCACCTTGCAAATTTTTTTTTTTTTTTTTTAATGAAGAATGGCTATGGCACAGCTGTTTTTTTCCACTTCAGGTCCTTTTCCAGTGCTTTTCATTAGCAGGTACTTACAGGACAGGAACAGATAGGATGAAGAAGAAAAGTTCACTTGTAATTAAGTTATGGTAGATCCACACCACCCATTTTGAGGCAGTGTAGTTTTCCAGTATTTTTATCCACTCAGAGACTGCAGCATACATAGAAGACAAACCTCTGAAAGGACCACATTCTTCTGAAGGTTTTAACCTGGAAGTATGAGAAAATAGCTACTTAAAGCTTCATATATTAACCAGTGATTCAGTTAATATTGTGATTTTGTACATCAAGATGCTCGTTAGTTTGCTATAGCCCTCTGCTCTCTTTGGACACTCAGGAAACTTCCATGATCTATGTTTGATTTTTAACTTGGGTCACTCTTCCAGACATTAAAATGCCCACCCCAGACTATACAGTGAGAGATAAGAGAACTCGCTGCAACGGATCGGTATCAAGCCCTGTAAACACAATCTTGACCTAAATGTAACAAGTCAATCACTGTGGCGCAAGCTACAGCAAATTGAAAATCTGGATTTTCAAAGTTTCACCACAGGTGCTTAAGTGAACCATCATCTCACCCTGCCTTCGAGGACATGAGTCACTACAGATTTTCAGTAACAACAGGATGTGGTGAACTAATGCAACCCATAGCAAGAATTAACACTTTCAGGTAGACTGAAATAGGAAAGTGTTGTTTGCTTTGAAATTGAACCACTCCAGACAGTCTGAAATTCCCACTTGCCATCTGGAAATGTTTGCTCTGAAATATTTCATCCCACCTGGTTTCATGTGTAGTCACCTGTTTTACTAAATATTGAAATCATGTGGCTGAGAATTGCTAAGAAAAAGAAAAGGGGTATCCATGCTGCCTTCATTACTGTGACCAGAGTAACACGCACATAAACAAAGCAGCTTTAAAATACTGGTAACAATCGAGATGCATTATTGCAGAGGTCAGCACTCCCTGCAAGAAAAAGCCTCTGAAGTTTGTAAATAGTCTAGTTGACCTCAATTGAGTTTTTCCAGGTGTTTCTCCACTGCAGACAAAGTATGGCCTATAACATAAATAAGTCCAGGAACTAGGACTAAGTCGCAGAAACTTTTAAGGAGGAAGAAAAGCCAAAATTTGCTGTGACATTTAAATAGGAACCCCAAACTTCAAGGTAACTTTGTTTCTCCTCACACTTTCTTATGGGACAAGTTACTGAGTTAACCACATTCGTGCAAACTCACTGAGCATGTCTTGTTTTTAGAATACAGAACATCTCATGAACATCTGAAACCTTCCATTAGCAATCAATATAGCTTTTTCTATAGAAAAATTTAGATTCCTTTGCCTGGTATTAGGTCACACAGCATAACACAGTAGGCTTGAATGCCAGTGATCTTCCATACCTCCAGACTGTAACTCCAATGACAGACAGGACTCCAAGGAAGGAAGGAAAAAACAGCAGGAACATGAAGGACGTTGTCATTTGAGCAGTTCTCCAGACTTTGCGAGGGGGTTGGCAATTCATCATCAGACTGACCTTTAAAGAGATGAATGTACACTGACTCTTGAAATGGTGTTACCTGCCACTTCAACTCGGTTTAAGTCAATCCCACTGAAACTGCTGGTGGCAATTGCTAGAATAGCATCTATCAAAAGTTTCCAAGAACTTCTTTTATATGAATTTGATAGATGTACTGTAGTTTTAGAAAGCTTCAAAAACATAGTCTTTAAATAGTAAGAGGCAAAATGATGTTCCGATAGGTTTTTCAGGACTCTGTTGGGTAGACTTTGCCTTGTAGCATAAGCAAACCCACTGCTCAGGGAAGTTTGAATCAATCTTTCTGGCTATAGCTTTGTTCTTCTACATTCAACACCACAAACTGTTCAATAACCCAACAAACAATCCATCATCTAGTCATACCACCCAGACAAAGAATTTTGAAAAGAAGAAAATTCCACCATGATCTTTAGCTGAATCAGCCTGCTTACACTTAAATAACTTGGGGTGTGGGGTGTGCTGGGGAGTAAGCAGGAAGCCAAAGTCATAGCCACAGGCTGAGTGTCTATATTGACATGTGACTTCTACACCATTAACTCCCCAACCTTTAATTTTACTACTTTATTCTCTCCTCTCTCTAACTGTGCTCTTAACCCCTCCTATAACCCTTCCACACTTTTCCCCCTCTCAAGTTCCACAGGTTTGTAATTCGAGGGCATGGATCTAAACTGTGTTCCTTTAAAGCAACCCCTCCCACCCCCCACGCAAAACGCAATCAGCCAAACTGCTCCCCTAAATGTAAAACCCCACAGCCTCCAGACAAAACCAGCACTTTAATGCAATAAATTCTGCCCAGATTTTGAACAGTATAAGTTTATGATGAATACATCTAAAGCTTATTACCTTTTTCACATAAAATACTATAGAAAATGATATCATCTGGATACCAGGCAGCAGAGGTGAGAAGAGGATACCGATCCTACATTAAAGGATTTATAAGAGAAAAGTTAAATCTTCACTATTCACCACACAGCTCTTAGAGCACTGAAAGCAGGAAATACCACACTAACTTCATATACAGTTAGTGTTTGGTTATTTGGAAATGTAATTATATTAACGTTGATCCTGTAACCGCAAGTCAACCTTTAAAAATATGCAACTTCAAACATATGTATCTATGAAGACATCTGCAAAACTCTTGTAATTGGAGTAACGTACTCATTCTTAGAAATAAGGCATCTTTTCCAGGGTTTAATACTGAGACTATTTCAACAGAACACCATTCCAGTGGGGAAGTAAACAAAACTCTAGGATGTTCCTTTTATGGGTTTCTCCCAGACCAGGTGGCCACAGGGTAAACTACCGACTAAAGTTATTGTTACTACCTGCATAGTTACAAAGAGAACTGGCAAGTCACAATCGTTACAAAGGTACTTAATATATCATCTCTCTCAGGCATTTATTCTGTTCTTTCCCCCATGATGTGAAGCATCCAGAAATGTCTGAATATGAATGTTCCATGGTATTTCTAAGTGCAAGAGAAGTTTTGGCCGTAAATGCACCACTTACCACGTCAAAGTCTGTGCATAAATCAAATCTAAAAGATTTCTTCCGATATCAAATTCTGGCAGCCCCAGGCTCACACAGACTGTAGTTCCAATAATTCTGGGGGAAAAAAATCCAACACAGCACAATAGCATTTGCTAAATCATAAAACCCTTTGTAGAAATCTCTACAAATGACCTCCCGAATACAAGCATCAATGACAAATTATTCAGGGGCTGCATTAACCACATGTCATGCAAAGCAGCCACAGCTCATTGACTAGACAGCACATCAAAAATGAAACAGAATTTGGCAAAAGCAAATTCCCATAACACACAGTAGGGGTGAAATAAGACCTAGGATATTTTTCACAAAACTTGAAGAAGAGGAAGAAAAAAAAAAACCAACGATTTGTAACTATATCAGAAAAGTATTCTTATGATTAAACAGTTGAAATGGCCTCAGTACAAAACTGTAACAGCTTTTCAGCTCCTGAGTCTTGAAAAATTTCAGGCTCAATCAAAAAAAAAAACAAATCTTGTACACTGATACTCTTAATATATCCTAAAGTATATTCTACTTTAAACTAACCGAGGTTGCACGTAGCTGAGACACACACAGGTAAGCAAGTACCCAGAGGATTCCTACTGAGGGCCAACAACCCCTTTTTATCACCTCATTTTTCCTGAGCTGGGAAGATTCAGTTTCTGCTTGTTGTAGCAAGAACAGTAAAGATTTTGTTAACTATCCCATCTCTCCTTGAATACAGCTCTTGGTACCACCTGATCAGCTGCATCATCAATAATGTTTCAGGGCTGGGCTTGCAGAGGGTTACTCTGAATACATACAAATAAGTATGACTAATTGTACTTTTAATCTTCCACGGCTGTAAGTCTGGTGCTTTTGCACAGCTTAGTGGAGGACATTCATCACAGCTGACACTGCAGTTTTGGTACTGTGACCTTTTGCTGGGAGGTGGTTTCCTATCTGAACAGAACAAGAACAGAAGGATTAAAGTACACTGGCAAGAGCTGTGGAGGGAAAATCTTGAAGTGCTTCTCAATGTTGTTTTGTGTTGATTTAACATAAAGTTAACAAAGTCCTATCTTGTAAACCCGTCTTGTTCACATCATGTGCAAAGGGCAAACATTGGATCTCCTACACAAGTATGGCCAGGAACCCTAAATGCTCTGTAGAGCTGGCAAGCACTTAAATACTCTACTACCTTAAGTCATAAATAATGTTTGGCAATAGGAAGGCACACACAGCAGATGTCAGAATTAAATGACTTTTGGCTTATATGCTTAGCTGTATTCACGTTCACTTAAAAATACTTTCTCACTTACCATGCCACAGAACTCTACACCTGAGAGTCATACTACATCCTTAATAAGACTGATTAAAATAAGACTTTAAACTCTGCAGAGTGATATAACTAAGAGGAAAAAAAATACAGGTGGACATATCAAAGAAAGCCAGCAGTGTGCCTGTGCACATGCAGAAAAGCAAGGTTTTCTGCTTGAGACACTTGGTCCTCTGTCACCCCATTTAGGAGATCTACAGGAGTACAATGTGGCTTCCTCCCTACCTGTGTTTCCACCTCCAAAGGAAAAAAGGACACATTGGGAGAGTAGAACAGTACACACTCTGACCTCCTCCTAAGAAGGAGCTGCAGTATACACAAGGCACGTACCCAGAGACTATTCCTCGTAGAGACAATCAAGGAAGCTTCAGTGGTGCCACGCTTCTGTTGGACTTCTCCTTTTCTCACATTGCAAAAAAACCCCTGTGTCTTTGGTTAATGAATAAAAACAAGATTAGAAAAGTAGTACTCACCTTTGTAAAAACTCTCCGAAGAAAGAGCCAAGCAAACAAAATATGAAGTCAACTAGAACAAGACGATAGATATCTTGGCCAACCAGAGTTTCCCAGCACTTTAAGAAGTAGAAGAAAAAAAAAAAGCATATCTAGAAGTCAAAAATCATGCAATTCTAACATTGTTTCCAAATGCCTGGGCATCTGAAACTTAGGCTACAGATCAAAGTTTTGCTAACACCCTGACTAATCATAGGTGACCTCTCACTGAACAATGCTGCAAACCAGCTGAGACCTGAGTTGCGTGATTCATTTTTTTCCTACAGCTCATTTCTCTAGAGATGCTAATAAAAAAATGTTGGGGTGGCAAATTCAGCTTTCCAAGACACTACATATACTTCTCTTTGCTGGAGCAAGCCGCTTCTCTAAGTGGTTCCTAACCTGGCATTGTAAGGCAAAGATTTTTATTTTTGAAACTTTACCTGCGACTCTGATGCAGCCACAATGCTAAGCCAGTAGTAGCACAGTATTCCAACAATTGATATCTTCAGGATGATATTTCTAAAAAGAAAAAGTAACAGTAACTGCACTGACAGCTGGTCCATACGCTCACTGGAGGGAATGATGGCAGGATGACCGTTGGTTACACATTATTACCTCCTTTTATAACAACAATAGCACTGCAGAGTGCCAGGACTAACAGGAGCTCTCCTTGGAGCTTGGGTGCAGCATTATTCTATTGTCCTGGCAGAAGGGGAGCTAGGCATGACAACCTTGGCACAAACCTCTACTGAACAGGCTAATGGTTGAGTGTGCGGGCTCTGCAGGGGAGGAAGGTCTGAGGGGCACCAGGGGTTACGTGCTGTTAATTCCATGCATCTGTAGTGAAGTAAGACCTCCTCACTCCTCTCTCCCCTTCCTTTCCCTGGGGAGCCAACAGCCCAAGGGCCATCTAGGGAAGCTACAAACAAAACCACGCCCAGTTTCACAGTGTGCCTAATTGAGAAGGAAACCATACCCCGTCCTCATATGCAGAGATGTAACACTCCAGAAGGCTAACAGAAGACAAACAAAACACAGAGGGAAGAGTGTACAGAAGCCTTTGGAGAAGATGAATTCCACACCACCTAGACACCGCTTGCTGTCAAAAAGAAGAGTGAGACAACTTCAGGCAAAAAGCACTAAGAGGTGGTAGCAACAAATACCTTGTAATGGTGACATATATCTGGTGTCCAGGAGTCTGAAATCTCTCCAGGTGCCCAAGCCACGAGTAGAAGAATGGGATGAATGCATTGAGGAGAGATGTGACAATAGGTAGCACCAACATGGCAGCTTGGCTCTCCAGGTCATTTTTATGCCCTTTCATAAACAGCTTAGCGAGGAAAAACAAAAACAAAAAAACAACCAAACCACCCCAACTTAGAGCCTTAACCAAAATGCTGCCTCAAGATGTGTCCACAGAGAAGTCACTTTGGCACACCTCCCTGTATGTTCTCAGGTTAGAGACCACCATGTTTTATGGACCCATGTCCAGCAGCACAGCGACCCTCTCTCCTTCCCCTGTGTTACATGGGACCAAGGGTGGGATCCCCAGCTTAAAAGCAGCTCCTAGGCAAAGGAGAGGCAGGCCTTGCTGAGGCTTCTTCCTACTGTTTCTTTCAAGGTCACTAGCTGCACTGTCCCTAAGCTAGCCATGAGCCCAGGCAAGCAGCTGCTGGGGTGAGGAGGGAGATTTTCTCAGATCCCTCAGGTCCTTCGCTCTTGCCATAGTCCCCATTGGTGTGAGTCTTTGCAAACCAGCTTTTTAGGTACAGCAGAATTTGTGTTTGCATTGGCAGAAACAACAGCTGTGCTTCCCTATGGTCCTAGTAGTGAACAGACCCCTGCTTGCGCTCAGTGTAAGATACCCATGTGGAAAAACGCATCTCCAAAAACAGAATGCAAAATCTGTCCTTACCTTTAGGTTATTAATGGAGAGGAAGTAAACACCAGCACAAGCAGCTACTGCTGTTCCCAGGGCAGCAACCCAAGAAACAAGATGAATAACAATACGAACAACTCTCTCTGTTACAGAAAAATTTAGAACTTCTCTGTTTACTTCAGTGAGGTCTTCCTGCAAGGAAACAATTCCTAATGAAGAATTCCTTAGTCAAAAGCATAAAGCAAAACTTGTTTCAAGTAACTACTTGAGAGACTGAACGAAAGATTATTTCTCTAGAAGATGGGCAGAGTAATGTCCTGGGAACATTTACTGGACAACTTTGTGTTCCTGTCCTAAAAGTCTTATCTCTTGATAATTACACTGTATTTCACAGATAATATGACAAGCCTGCCTTTTGTTTAGGAAATGGTTAAATAGCAGGAAGGAAAAACAGAATAAATATTCTGTTTGGCAAATATTTAATAGTCAGGGATTCATTCAGTAGAACAGAAGCATACAAATATTTATATGTAGCTTAAAGAGAAAAGAAAAACATGTAACTAAGCCAACTCCAGGAGTTCAAACCAAATGAAACTTAACAGTCAGGAAGACTTAAGTCTGTTCGGAACAGGACTAGCACACTTGAGTCACTCTGCCAGAGACTTATTTGTCCATACAAATTTGTGTATGCACATACAAGTCTCTGGCAGAGTGACTCATGCATGCTAGTTTTGTACCCTTCTACCTTTTTGTATCTCCTGTGTTTTGTACCTTTATTTGTGTGGTGAGATTCTTTTGTTTCAGCTTCACGGCTTTTTCATTATTTATATTGAAGTCCCACGTGCAGAGAAGTTTGCTAGCATTTCCAGAGTATGTCTGAGGGTTAATGAAGTTCCTGCAGAAGGATTTTGCCATGCTGCAATGAAAATTAAATTTGAGAGATGCGTAATGGCGAAATACATCAAGTCTGTACAGCAGGGCAAGAAGGGAGATTTGTCAGTTTTGCTATCATGTCCCAAGGCTACTGGACCTATGTCACAGCATGTCACACAAAAGTTTATTTTCCATGTCTTCTTATGTAAGAAACAACTCTCACATTTCCTTCTCCTAGCTGTTGCTGCCAATCTTTACCTCTGGAAGGCCACATCAATACCAGAAGATATTAGGAGCAACAGCTTACAAAGTAGGGATCATGATGCTCATCGGTTTGAACTGGGATTTTCTGCATGTCCCTTACTATTTTGCAGTTAGTCTTCATTGTCTAATAAAGGTTTGATTTCTGGAGACTGTCTTTTGAGCAGAAACTTCTACTTAAACTCTAAACCTGGAAATAAGGACTTACAGAAACATACTCAGGTAATTATTACTGCCAACAGTTTACAGGGTGGGGTGTTTTTTTGGTGGGATTTTGTTTTTCCCCCTTAATATAAGTGAAATAAGAATATAGAGTTAGTTTACCTGAACAACAAGATAAGAAAACAGATGACAAAATATATTCCAATGGTGAAAATATAAGCCAGCTGCATGTTGTAAGACGGACCATTCTCTATTTTACTGATTGTAGCATTGGTGTAAAAGCCATAGTAGAGTACTGTTTGTTGAAAATAACCCTGAAAAAATACAGACCTCATTCAAAATGTTTGCTATTACCTGTCTATGGTGGGAAGTATCATCTGAAGCCCAGTTAGGGGAAGTGGGAGCTGTCCCATTCCCTACTGTGAAATCACGGGTGTGATTAAATTTCTAAATATCAGGTCCTTTGTTTTCCTTCTATCAGCTAAAATCTTCCATAGTTTTGAGAGCTTCTAGAGATATATAAATGACTTGTATCCTTCTTAAGATTCATGCAGGATGGCCGTGAGCATTCAACACCTTTGCAGGATTTGGTCTTTTCTGAAAATTCCCGAAGAGGGAAAGGCTTAATTGCTTCCTTCTTAGGAGCAAGGGTTCTGTACTGACAAATTGTACCAACTATGAAGGAACTAGGAAGGAAGCACGTGACATTCAACACTACAGTTACTACGTTACAGCTGAACTCCTGCAATGGTGACTGTACTTTGCAAAATTAAACAGCATTACTAAAAAACACAGCACTTTAAAAGCAATTTTAGAAGGAAAAGGCTGACACCTTTACTTTTTAGAGAGATCTCTTCTCAACTAAGCATTAATAAGAGCAGAGTCTTTTTTATTAACTAGAGAAATCCTTTAACAACAATAAGATTGACACATTTTTTACTGCAAAGACAGGGGGAAAAAAAAAAAAAAAGAAGAAAGAGTAAATCATCTTCTCAGATCACTTAGTTGATTAATACTAGTCAAGTTACAGCAGTGCAAAATCTTCCTTTAAAAACAGCCTTGGAATTTATCCCCCGAATGATGTAAAGATCTTCACACAATGAAAAGATCCTCCTGTTTCCAGGCCCCAATGAGTTCAGCAAACAGAAAGATCTGTGTGCTCTTTGGAAGAATAAAGCTTTGGAAATAAGCAAAATTCACAGGATCACATATGGAAATCTGCACTGTATTTTCAGAGGAAAATTAGCATGGGAAAAATGTTTTGCTGAAGACTATTGTAGCTATCTTTGAAAGGCCTGGCTTCCTTTGTGTCTCTTTCTGAAAGTGATTAAAGTCTTGAAATATTGCTGAACATAGCAACTATTTGCAGTGAGACAAATGGATCAGAATGAGTTCCATTCAGTTCACCCAGAGTCAGCGTTTGTTGCAGCTTCTTTTTCAAATATGTACTAAATATTATTTCTAGTAATATAAAATTCTAACTCCACCTGTTAATAAGAAATACTAACTTTTTTTACTCTATTGTGAGTTTTTAAAGTAGATCTGTTGCACACAGTATTAATACAAATCTGTCGTTACATACTTACAGCTCCAGTGAGCAGCTCCAGACCCATGAATGAAAGGTTATTTGGTTCTGCTGCAACAAACTGAGGGATTGTGATGAAACTGAAGTTTATGACGAATGAGAAGATGTTGAAAGTTAGCAGCCACTTCAAGAAAATAAAATAAGAAAGAACACTTGTTCCAAACTCGGCACCAATGATCTTCAGAGTCTTGTGCCATAACTGCAGTAGGTGAAAACATTCTGACAAGCTATTTCCAAATCGCCGAAATGACTGAAGTGCAAAAAGGAGAGAGAGATGAATCTCAGCAAGCAGTCTTAAACAGGACTCAAATTCACATAATAAGGCCTCACATTTTTTACAGTTCCATTTTGATGTAAGAACAGATTTCCCCCACTATATGCACCATAAGATGCTTCACTGGTGTTCCTAAGTGCTACCATAATGCAAGTCATTATTAATGAACACTGCAGCAATTAATTGGTTCTTTGGCAAGTAACATAAAGCAAGATACTAGATACCTCTGGAGACAGTGATAACATTGCAGCTAAAGTGGTTTACTCTATTGTGACTGACAGAAGTTTCTGACACTTACCACTACTGTTCCCTGCAGACACTGTGTACAGCAGGAAAGTTGAGTACTGCGGTGCCTTGATTTTTTTGTTATTTCTTTAAGAACTTTATTCCTGTGAAGAAGCAGGGCAGGGGATGACAAGCATTATAGTATGGGTTGTAATTAAAACAAGAAGCCAAAGAAGCTGCTGCAAATACAGTTTCACACATGTGCACACGAACAGAGTTAATAAAACATGGAGATGTTCTGCTGGTTCTTTTTCTATTAGCTGATATCATGGCTCTTGTCCATGCTATGACAGCATGTTCCAACCCCTCCAATAACTCACTCTGGGAACAAAATCTAAATATATTCTACATATATTTGTGAGGAGAAAAAAGGATGCTTGAGACCATGTGGTCTCTTCTCCATTTTCAATGGCCAACATCCAAGTTTCCTTTGAAAAGAAATCACAAGTCATCATTCATAATCAAATCTCAAGGCCTTGATATTCTGTTTTATATTACCACGAGAGATTCTTCTCATCCAGAGAAAGGACAATGAACCATCTTTAAATTATTTTCCCTTGCAAGATGTTAACTTTTAAAAAGTGCATTAAAAAGTACTTCCGGTTCTTTCAAAGTGACAAACCAAAGCTGAGCAGATGGCAAACATCCATACTTGATAGCTACATGTTGAAAGTATAGTGTTTGTAAAACTAAACAGATAAACTTCTATTTTTACCTGATCTCTCTCTTTTTTTTCATGGTCTCTGGCATCTTCTGGATTGCTTTAATCCTTTCACTGGTGGACATACTTGCAAGACTTCCAACTAACTTTTCCTCTGCATAAAACCCATGAAAAAAATCAAAATTTTTTAATAATAATACAGTAGTTCTTATACAAAATCTGAAATGGATATAACAACATTCCCCATTTTCACTGCTATCAGGGTGTCGCAAGTTCTGAGACTTAATAATACTCCCCAGAATATCCTCAGCTCCATCAGTACTCTAATACAGACGTAAGTAAGTAGTACAATACTGGATGTTATAAAATAAATATCGCTTGTCTGATGCTTGTTTAATGTTAATACAAAGAGCTGCAATATAAAGGAAAACAGAACACTAAAACTCCAAGATTCTGGTCTATTGCTTGATCACTGTTTGATAGTTACATTTCTATGATGCTACATATTGACTTGAAAGCTAAACTTTTGTTTTATTTGTTCTATAATTTTAGTTGATGTTAGCGGCCAAACTTAGCACTACCTATGAAATAAACAGAACTGTATTGCTTGACAATCAGGCTGTTTTCGCATAGTTGGAATTGGACGCTAATTCCAGACACAGTGGCTGAAAACAATCCATTAGCTGGTCAAACAAATTCTAATAAAGAATTTAGCTTTTCTTTCTACAATTTAACACATATTCACACTGCACTGTGTTTCATTTATCATGGGATTTTAGTGTGCTAGTGGAGTATAAAAGATTAATCACTAGCGTTAACACAAAACCAAGTTGTTCCCATAACCACAGAAAGACTGTACATGCAATTCTGGTGATAAACCAAGAGTAGTATCAACCACACCATCCTTGTGCAAGATGCTATTTAATATCGAACCACTTATCTAAACTCCTACCTTCTTTGCACACTGGATCTGTTTCAAACAGGCTGGAAGACGTCATGAAGATCTCATCAGGTGATCTTCTGTTGCGTCTCCGAATAAAGCTATCTAAATAGCATGCACTGTTCAGTAAGCCCAGATACTTCTGACAAATTGACTTAAGAAATTAAAATTTCACTTTCACAGAAACAACTTAAAAGTATAGCCTTCAATCTCACTACCTACATGCAAACTCCCCCACTCACTTCTTTCCTGGTCATGCTTGACGACCGTATGCAATTTTTCAGATACATGCTGAAAAAGAGGTACTGAGCCCAGTCTTCAGCTGTCATGGAAAACTTTGTCATCTAACCCATTCATAAATGCGCACATTGATTATTCAAGACTTCCTTCCTAGAAGACAGGTCCTTTCTTTAAAAATCCTTCCACTGACTTTTAGAATCACACTCAATCATGCTGAATAAGTTATATGTACCAGACTCCCATTTCCCTGGGGCCAAAATGCAACTGTTCTCTCAACCTTCTTTCATCCAATTATTCAAACATGAGTGACTATATTCCTTAAATGCATCCGCCTTACAGCTATAAAGCAGATGAGTTTAGCCACAGCTTTCCTTGCCTCCCCTTCCCAGTAAGCTAATGGCCAGGCTGTGCAATGTTACCTTCCCCTTTTGAGCTCGACCCTCTGGTGTGGAAGGCCTCAACTGACTGATGCACATGTTGCAGGCTCCTTCACCATATTTACTCTTTAGATCTAACGGTCTCCTGATGTTAGTGTCATTTCAACTTTGAGCCAACTTCCTTCGTAGCAATTAAAAAGAATCAGAAAAAGCATCTGTGCCTTCTTGTGAAGGTACTTCTTGAACTTTCAGCACCCAGACATTTATCCTCTAGTTGACTGTGTTAGAAATGCACTCTCTGCTTCCTATCAGGTATTAAAAGCCATGCATGATAGTTAATGTTTGGAAATGTCCTATTTCTATGGTCACTCATGGAGTGAGGCATTTCCAGGCACCAATAAAATCGTTGCTTTTTAATACGAATACAGGATTTTGCCAAATCAGATCTTAACTTAAAGACCATGTTCTTAAAGATGAAAAAGAGAAAAAACAAGAATCCCTCACTTTGGGGGCACAGAGAGATGGTTCTTTCAATGCATCTATGTAACAATTCCAGAAAAGAACTCTTAATTACATTCCAGAAGCAGCAGACAGGAACCGACCCGACTGTAACAGAAAAATTACACGATATGGGAAGAACAGTTCCCACCCAGAACATGAACAATAAACTACTATGCCAGCCTACTGCAGACCCCCTGTATTTTAATAAATCTCTAATTACTATTATAGTCTAGAATTTACACAGAGACGACAGTGAAAAATTCACTAAAGACAGTCTCAAAAATGCATCCTATCCTCCCCTTATTTCCTCCTACAATGAGTATCTTCAGATAACTGTGTAAGTTTGTTTTCTGTTGACCCACTTATAGGGAGTTTGGGTTAAAATGGGTAGGCATTATATCTTTCATTGCTCAAGAAACAAAGATCATCACCTTCAGAAAGATATTGAAAAATTCAGCTACAACGACGTAGGACAGTAAAAGAGAATTTGTTTTATGATTCCTTTTATTATGTGAAGATCTTCATTACCTGAACCAAAAGGCTTTTAAATATTTACTGGTTTATGGAGAGCAAGACTGACATTCAATATTCTGATGCACCACAATCCTTATGTTTTACCTTCCGATACATTGGAAATTCTGTGGGTATAGGGGCGATCCAGCAGATGGAAGGTAGAAGGTGGGCTGTATACCAGTTCTGGCTCAGGCTCAAAGGAAAGATTATCTGTTGAAGGGAATCAGAATTATACAGAAAGTTGTATACTGCTATGGATTATTTACACACACAGAATATCAGCCCTATTGACCAAATACAGCTCTACTGCAAATATAATAGTATATCCTATTAACAAAACTCCTATATCTCACTCCAATGTACATCCTAGTATTCAATGACTTATGCAGTCCATACAAGTCAGTATTTACCAATCTATTAACACAAGAGACAGTTTGTGGATCTGTTAATATAACATCTGAACTACTAGGAAAAAAGCCAAAAAACCTCACTGCCACCAAGTACAAATATATACTTTCCAGAGCTGCAGGACTCCGTCAGGACAGAGTAAGCCATTACTTGTTTCACCATTTCTGTAAGCTGTTAATATGAGAAATTACATACCCATGGAATTTCCATATGGACTTCTGCTTAGGACATTAACTCTTGGTAAACCTTCACTGTATTCAAAGCTGTGTCTCATGGAGGCCAGAGGGTAATTCTGTCCTCTTCCACTGTGTTCTCCGAAGGAACCATGGAGTGAAGAATCATAAGGGCTTTGGCGGGAGAACAGATTCTTTTGAGAATTCCTCCTGTGTGAGCAACAAAAAGGAAAAACTTGACTGCCACAAAAAACCCTCAATAGACATCCTTAATAAATTGTTACCTATTATTATCACATTTGAGTACATTATAAAACAAACTCTGATACTGAGAGATATTTTGTATTTAGAACTCCAACATCATAATTCTGATTTGGTCATTAACTGAATTAGAAAGACTAGAACTTTTCTTCACCTGAAGTTAACTTGGATTTCACCTAAACAGAAATAACTGCTTGGAAAATGAAGACATCCAAGGAGCACATTGTGAAAACTACTGGAACTAAAACATATTTATGACATTATGCCATAAATCCTAAAATACATTTAACTGATAAATTCATCTAACATGTAAAACCCAAACATGCCATCTCTCTTGAATGCTGCCTTCCTGATAACAGCTTTAAAAATTTGTGTCTGAAAATGCAAGCATAAAGGAGGGGTTAAAAGAAATCTACGAATTAAAACTCCGGAGAAAAAGTTTCTCCTGCATATAAATACAGAATTTAATTTCTTATGGCACAGTCACAACAGCAAAATTAAATAAACTCACCTTCTATCAATTTCCAGTGTCTCTGAGAAGTGGTAGTCTGGATTTTCAAAGGCTTCATTGTAATGATAAGACATGACAAGTCCTTGGTTTGAGGGATGAAATCTTCCTTATTTTCGTCTCTACTGCTTCATTAATATGTTCATGGGAAGACTGATTACAGACCTAATTACAAAATAGATGCATGTACATACAAAATGAAAAGAAAGGAGCTTCATTTTAGCATCTTAGAAGATTTTGCCACCCTGCTACAAATAATATGAAACAATATAAATAGGAAACGGTTCTAACTTAGTGCTATTTACCGTCGGGAAATTAGGATCCACCAGATGTTGCAGGTAAAATGGGAACTAATATTTCTCTACAGTAAGCTGTATACAAAACTAAGGAACTGGAGTGCCACATGAAGTCTTCCCCAGCACCGACAATGAAGCCAGGTTTTAGAAACATTAAGAAGAAGAAAGTAAGTTCTCTCCTTCCTCCTTATACAGGAAAATATTACTTTCTCAGGGGAAGAAAATTCTCAGACAATTCCCTTTGAAGAGTGTGCAAAATTACATTTTTCTCATTTTTAACTGGTTTCCCAGGAACCCCACTCACTCAGACTCAGCCATCCAGAAAGCTGGGAAGCCTGCCAGCAAGGCAGGTGGAAAGCTGAGCACTGATCTAAACAGCTCGTCAACTTGCCTCATCTTCATTCAAACTGTAGAGAGAATGGATATTTTGATGGAAATGTATGGGTTGTGTAGAATCAGCATTACCCAGAAGCAAGATGGTAGGAAGCATCAACCAGCTCTATCAACCAACTTGCTAAAGTGCAACCAACCAGAAGAAACAGATCAGACTGACTAAAAAATATATCCATCACTTCTTTCTTGTACTCATTTTAAAGACCTCTAGGCATATCCATAAAGGCTTGCTAAGATACTTAAACAATCCCAAGACAGACTGTCTATTGGTTCCATCATTATCCACTTTAGTTCCTTTGAGTCTTAAGATGCACTTTATGCCAGAATTTCTATGAAAATCCACAGGGACATTTACAGTCTAACACTGAACCCAGCACCTGAAGCCACTCTGTTTTTTCTCCACTCCCAAAGTTTTAAGGATTTTAAGTAAATTCCCCATGTACGGCTGAGGCAAATTCAAATCTTTGCATTTCGCTCCTGAAAAAATAGAGATTTTCTTCTTGCTAGCTGTGAGCATTACATACCAAACCTTAAGGCATGCGGAGTGAGCAAGAACGTGAATATGGATAACCCATATGTTTCTTGACTGAGGCTGTGGTCACTCAAAGATTACTACGCTACCTGGTACATAAATGCTGTAGGGTGGGATGGAGGTGTGTATGAGCTTAGGGTGTACAGGTGGCATGCCAATGGTGTACAGGTGGCATGCCAGTCCACCCAATTCCTCCATCCCAAGCCCAAAGATTGTGAGAAACTCTTCTTATCGAATCAGAAGCCTACATCACAGGTTTGGTTTGGGGTTTGATGGACCAGCAGTTTATAAATTTCTGACCAATCATAGTTCACTGAAAAGAACCCAAAGCAGGTAATGCTCAAGCTAAACCATCTCTTTCTTCTTTTTGACCTATGATGGGATGCAGTAAACCAGGAAAAGCTATGACATTTAGACTTAGCTTTCCCTTTAAAAAGTTATTTTCCAGAAGGAAAAAAAAAAATAGCTGGAGAACAGAGGTCATTTGTGAAAGAAAGATAGAAAGCAGGAGCTTGACAAATCTTCCCTTTGCAGAGCGGTGTCCATTTGTTGGACAACATTTTGGATTTCGGCAAGCAACTAAACAAATCTTGTGTTCCTCATCTGGTGGACAGAAGGGTTTAAGATCAGTGAGTTTAATAATCATCAATACGTAAATAAGTTACAGGATAGGTGGAGAGTGGGTGTTTTCCGCTTAAATCATTCAACACACACTGTAATGGTATAGAACAGGAAACTCCAAGCAGTGCACTCATGCTTCTGGATCCTTTCCCAGAAAAATAACTGCCTTCACGTCACAGACCAACAGCCTTGACAAAATACTCCAGGTTAGTTTCATCCATTCCTGTACAAGTAATTCTCTGCTATAGACACTAATCCTCATTTAGAATATAAATCAAACAAACATGAATGTCTCGCTAAAATAGCACTTTGCCCTGGTATCAAGTTTCAGGAAAGCCACTTAGACCTTCAAGTCCTTTACCTGTAATCCCTCAGAAAAAGGATTACATAAAGTAAATTCTACTTACACAAATCTTGAAGAGGAATGGAAACAGTAAGTTCCAGAACTACATCATAGTTGACTTAATAGTGTTGAATGAAGGGAATGGAACTCATGGAAGAACTGATTCCAAAGGTTGAATGTGCTCTATTTCCATAAAGATCTTTTATTTTTGTAGGGTACGACTGGACAGGGCTTCACTTTTATCTAAGTTATTTTTATTCACGAACCCCCATCCTGTTTAACATGTTCTACACAGCTTCACACTGAAAAAATCAGATTGATTTCTGGAAGCCAAAAGTGAGTTTGAGAGACAGACCAGAGTTAAAACTAGATTACACGCTGCATCAGCAACTAGGTTCCAGTACTGACCACTACTCTTCCACTATCTCAATCCCACTTCTGCAACAAAGCAGGAAAGCTTCTCAGAAAATCTAAAGAGCCTGTGAATTGACACTAATCAAACACTACAGTGTGAATCATACACGGAAGTGAAGGTCACTTACCATTTATGCATATTGCCGAAGTACCCAGTCTGCACTGACAAATGCCACCTCTTACCGGCCTTCCATTGTGTTTTTATTGATGTTAGCAGGGTCAATTACAGGAGCCAACATCAACTTTGTTATTTTAGACCTTCAATCAATTTCAGCAATGTAAATTGTGCCTCTGCTACAAAAGATCTCCCCAGTGAAAGATGACATGTGGTAGCACTAAAGACTCATCTGCTTACTACTGTATAGGCAAAGGACAGTCACCAAATTGCGAAGGGAAAGGAAAGAGCGACATCATCCCCACTATGGTCGCAATGCTGCTGTCTCTCCCAACAGCTTGTTGGATCTCGAGCTCACAAAGGAAAGTATTTCCCAGTCCTATAGTGCATGCTACCTACCAGAATTCAGATCCCATCCTCCCTGTCCCCCCCAGCCCTTCTTGGTGAGAGTGAGGTGCAGAGAGTAGCCAGGCAGGCTGGCAGAAGCAGGCAGAATGGTGTCTGTCTGACAGGGGGGAACATCCTACTGTCAGACTATCTCTGCCCTCAGCTGGCTGCTCCCATTGCTTCCAGCTACTGCTTCAGCATCATGAGCTCTGCTCCTTATTTGCTCTTTATACATTTTTTGCACCTACTCACTTGTTTGCCTTGTCCTTTCCATTTAACATTCCTCTTGCAATTTCCTCCCCCCGCTACCAAATATAGTAAGACTACAATATTTTCATCCTGTTCACTTTGTTTGCAAGTTAAATCCCTTCTATCACCTGTGGCTGCTTAGATAAGGCTTTTGGAGAAGGACTGCCAACTACTTCGTATTTGCAGTGTCTCAAGCAGGAGTCTACTTCTTCACCTGAGTTTAGACACCTTTATTTTAAACATGGTCCTGAAACATTCAAAAAATCGTTACAACATATAGTTAAATTTTAGTGTCCAGTAAAGTGTCGTAAAGACATGGCACACACTTCAGAGTTTTTGCTTAATGGCAATGGATGAAAGTTCAGATACTTCATTAATTCTGTGAAATTCATAGTACCTTCCCTAATCTACCACACAAATCCCTATTTCCCCACCCAAAAGGCCTCACAGGATCACAATTCTTATGGACTGAAGTACATACCACAGTGATTTTGCATTATCTAATCCTTTCCCCAGAAATTCCTTTGAGAGCAAGTCTCTTTTCGTTTGCTGCTTTTATTTTCTTAACTCTGACCACAAGTTGCAAACTTAATCCATTGGGAAAACTATGAGCACTGGATAAAGAGGAACAATCAGGGATATATAACTACGAAAATTAGAAATAGGGAACTGAAGAGTAAGATCAGTATACCTGGCAGAGAGAGGAAAGATTAACAAGAATAAAAAACCGTGAACAGAACTCCGCATTATTTTTTTAACAGTTGAAAGACATTACCTAGCTCATAGTCTGACCATTATGGGGAAGAAAAGGCTAAGGCAAGAATCACTTCGTGTCAGTGCAAGTCAGTCTTGTGACTAAATTTCCAAACTGCAGGCTATCACATTCTTTGCATATAGCAGGACTAAATCTTGCTTTGCAAAACAAGTTTTTTAAGTCTGTCTATCAACCAACATTACCAGCTATTTGTATTTGAAGGAAATGTCCAGTTACCAAAAAAAAGAAGCAGTTTTTGAGTACCTGTTTGGAACTAGTTTTCTGAAAGACCAGGTCTATTAGAGGCATGAGATAGCGTTTACTAGAACAGTTCTAATGTTTTGCCTTAAAAGAAAGCTTTGTTTATTCTGTACTTGCAATGGATACCTATCCAGTTTAAATGCAACCTTCAAATGATACTTTAATGAGCAGATTCAGTTACAGGAGTCTCATTCACAAGTTCAATTGGAAAAGCTTATGAAAACTACACATATGGTCACTTTAGATAATAAACAGGGTTTTAAAGATACACAATGTTGTTGAACTAAAAAAAGGGCATTGTTCTGTTTGTAATTTCTAGCTTAACTTCCTGTTAGGATATGCTAATCTCATTACTATTTGCACAAGCAGCATTTAAGATGACCCTGAGGGAAAACAAAAGCTATTCACAATATTCTAGCAAATCAACTAAGAAGCTAAGAAAATGGCTCGGGAGAACCAGTCAGAAGAAAAGAGAACCAGTTTTGTCACAGGTTTCTCCTAACTCTTCGAAATCCTTATATGCAGTTTTCAAATTGTTGGACAAATAATTTCACATAAACTAAATACTTCTTTTTCAGTAGCTACATTAAAATGCAGTGTAACATGTTAGTACATTAGGGTTCTATTCTACAATGAACACACAGATCTATGGACTATACAAGTCACAATTAGAGCTTTTTCACAAAAATGTAGCTGTAGAGTGCTAGTTCCT